GGGGAGGGGGGGGGGGGGGGGGGGGGGGGGCGGGTGGGAGGGGGGGGCACTTTCCCCTCCCCTACTTCCAGGAAAAATATTTTGGTGACATTGGCTTAGAAAGTAGATTTACCCCTTTCCGCCGGCCCTCTCGCCTTATCCGTCCAGACGCAGTTGTTTTTGCCGCCCTCATGCCTTCATGTCGCACACGATCGACACTATTTCTTCAGTTGACATCATGGAAAAGTACCTCTCGGTACTTGGAACTTTTGTGTCATAAATGAACCAAGAATCCATGAGCCATCAGCGACCAGTCGGAATGCTCTTGTCTAGGCAAGCTCAACTTGCCGAAAGCGTAAGCTATTTTCAATTAAATTATCTTATTTCTTTCTTTTTTTTTTTTTTTTTTTTTTTTTCCTCGTTCCGAATCTAACCTGACTTGCGAAATCCGAGATTCGCCTTTTCTCATCGGCCCCCGCATTAATGAAAGGCTTACGGCACGAAGATAATCCAAGGAGCCTTTTCTTCTCCGCTTCCAGCTGTCTCCAAGACGAATGAGAGTTCTCGAGGGAAAAAAAAAAATTCATCGCGACGATCGTCCTTGCCGCCGCCGCGACAATGCCAGGCGATGACAACCCGTGTTTACGGCGGTCGCGAGAGAAGAGACCCAAACGACGCGCCGCACGATCGTCATGCACGCATAAATGGAATGACTAATGGCCTTGAAGTCCCTCCTAAAAAAAAAAAAAAGTAGCAATTTTTTTCATTATCTAATCCCGACCTCGAATACGACGGCAAGACACGCGTGACGGCGACGATAATGATGATTTCCTCGTCTTCGATCGTCATGCTTACAACTTTCGGCTCCCCTCACCTGCCCGCATATTACGACTCTATTGTCTTTTCTCTTCCGAGGAATGCATTGCGTCATTCTGAGATCCGGATCGATTCTTTTCCATCCCTTATTTTGTGCTAATCGCGACGACCCAAAAATCCCTGCATAAACCCTCCCCATCCTCCTCCCCATCCTCCTCCCCATCCTCCTCCTCATCCTCCTCCCATTCTCCCTCCATCCTCCTCCCCTTCCTCTGCCCACCGTCCGTTACATAGAAGTGAATGAGACGTAAAATAAATTGAATGAGCGAAGAACCGTGGACGTGGACTCGGGGTCTACGTGCCGCGGTGACATCAAGTCCATTCGAGCCTCTTTCACTCTCCTAGCGGTCGTCTTCGGTCCATTCACGGAGCGAAAGCTCTCGCGAGGAAAAAAGGCGCTGCGAATGTCCCTTCGAAAGGGTCTGTCGGACGACTGTGGCGATATTTTATCGCGGGGGGAGAGTAATGGATCGAATGCGAAAGATACACTCGGGGAGATCAGAGAGCGAGATTCGGGTCGTGAATCATCCTGTCGTTCGGACAAAAGAAATCTCTCCGACGGAAAAAGAAAACGTTGACGCCTGTTTCAAGGTTTTCTTTCGCTGCGAAAAGGGCCCTGCAGCCTTTCCTTCGCGGAAAAAAAAAATCTGAACGCCGAGGAAAAATATCGAAAGAACGTTCCAGCCAAGACGAAAGATTTTTTTTTTCCGTTTCTGCTGACGGTTTCTTCGTCGCTTTTTTCCCCCGGAATTCGCCGAGTAATTCGTCGAGTTCGATTTTTCCGCCTTTCCGAGTTTCCCAGAAAATCCAATTCATTTCTATGCGGATCCAGCCTTTCATCCAGCCTTTCATCCAGCCTTTCATCCAGCCTTTCATCCAGCCTTTCATCCAGCCTTTCATCCTTAAAAAAAAGCGGATGAGACGGTTTCGCCCGAGAAAATCGAAGAGGAGGAAGTGCTGCAGAATTTCTGCACTGCAATTTGCAAAAATTGCACTCTGGTTA